CCCATACCGCTCCCTCAACGCATCCACCTCCCGCTGCAACCTCTCCATCTCATCCAATATCGCCGCCGAATCCCCCTTAGCCCCTGTCCCCACCACCTCCTCCTCTTTCCCCCCCTTCCCCACTTCATCCACCACCCGCTCCCCGACATACTCATACCGCAAACTACTCTCGCTCGCCTGGCTCGCCCGCCGATTGCCCCCCTCCCGCTCCCGCTCCCGCTCCCGCCCAGCCGAATGCCACTCCCCGCTCCGCCGCCCCTCGCCACTCGTCCGCCGACTGCCCTCGGGCGAGACGGCCGCGAGCGCGGGCCGCTGGCTGTCCAAGCTCGCGCGGCCGTCGCTGTCGCCGCTGCCCCTGCCTCTTCGCCGGGGCGGCGGCGGCGGCGGCGGCGCCATGGGCGCGCTCGGCGGGTCCGGCGCGCTGGTGTGGCGGGTTGAGTTGATGGAGCTCGTGCGCGCGAGGCCGAGGGAGGGCGAGGGCGGGGGCGAGGAGAAGGTGGAGCGGCGGGAGGCGGGGAGCGGGGGAGGCGGCGAGGTGACTGTGGTGGTCGAGGTGGAGGCGGATGGGGAGCGGGTGCTCGTGGAGGGGATGTCGGCGGTGGAGGTGTTGGCGGAGTTGGCGAGGCTGTTGGCGAGGCTGGTGCCGTGGTGGCGGCGAGAGGGAGGCGGCGGGGGCGGCGCTTTGTGGGTTGAGGTGGTGGAAAGGGGGTGTGGGCCGGCGTCGTTGGGGCTGGGGGTGTCGGAGAGTTGGGACGAGATTGTGAGGGAGGAGTTGCTGCGGGAGCGGTTTTGGGTCGTAGAGCGGAGGGTGCTGTGGCGGCGGGCGAGGGGGGGTGCGGGGGGGACGCGTTTTTGCTGGATTGAGGAGGTTGTTTCCGGGCTGGGAGGCTGTGGTTGAATTTGGGGTTCTGGGACGATGGATACGGCTGGGGGCGTGTCTTGGGTCTCTGGCGGGAAGTATGACGGCTCCGGCGGAGGAGGAAGGGGTTTGTTGAGGTCGGAGTTTCTGCTTCTAATTGATGATGGACTTATTGCTGGTTTTGATGACGATGAGGGAGGCGTTGTGGGCTCGACAAAGGACGGAGAGAAGTCTGAGAAGGAGACCGTTTGCGGTGTTCTTGATGCAACGAGCTTGCCATGCCTGTGCTTCGGTGGTGGAGGTTTCGGCTTCTTCTTCTCAGCCTTCACAGGCTCACCCATTAAACTGGTCTGGTCCTCGTCGTCCGACGCTGCCATCTCGTACGAAGTCCGCGGTGTTTCGTTGTGTGCCTCTTGTATTGGTTCGAAAATCGACTGCCGTGATATCGAAGATGTGTCTGTGCTACTGCTGCTCTCAACCTTGATACCTGCGACATGCGGGTTCTGAGGCACCGTCGACGCCCCGGAAGCCGACGGATTCGCATTCCCAGTCATGAGGAGCCTCGTGAAAGCATCAACGTCCATGGAAGCTCTGGCGGTCCCTGAGCCTGTCCTGTCCGGAGTATGCCGCTCCAACAGGCCTTCGCGGTGCGATAGAGACTTTACTGAAGGCTCGATAGTAGCCAGGGTCTTTTGAAATGGATTTGCTGGAATTCCACCAGCTATCGGCCCAGAACTGCCTCCCATGCTGGCAGTCCCCTTGGTATTCCTCATCAGCGTTTGGTCCTCATCTCCATGTCTTCCCACATCGGCACTCAACGGATACTCCTCATAGTCTTCCAGCGAATCTGACGAGCTTGTAGGCGAAGCGGGAGGCAGCGGGCCCGTGCTGTTTACGATACTCGAGCGCTGGGCAATCGAGTCATCGGGCATAGGAATGCCCGGATGCGGAGGGGAGGACGAGGGAGATTCAATGCGGACTTTCTTTGTCGTCTTGGCCGGCGTGGAAGTGGGCGTCACTGTAAGAGAATTACTCATGCTGTTCCGCTAGACAGGTGAGGCATTTGCAGCGGTGTGTACCAGTATCTATATGCTGCCCCAAGGCGTCAGCCCTACCAGTGGGAGCATCGGGAAAGCTGAGGGTAGCCTCATGGTGGACGACGGGCTGTTTCTGGTGCAGGGAGAGACGGAAGGGGTTCCCAGACATGGCGAGGACTAGGGACAATTCATTGTGCTATGTACATGCGGAGGACCTCTAGAGGTCTGGCAGAGACTGATGGGCATCGTCAGATCGCCGCCGCGTGGGCGTTCGTTGGCGCTCGCGATCCACTCCCAGCTTGGCCCCCCCACCAGAGGGCCTTTCACCGCCTTTGACCTGAGCCCCCACGCTGGAAACAATACAGTCACGTCAAAGGGCGGGCCATATCGCTTCATATTCATGGTCTGGCATTGTTGTCTGGATATCGGGAGGTATATGCTAACAGCCATGTTTGACAGTCCGTCCATCAGGGTCCACAGATACCTAGTCCCACGCGACACTAACACCTGATAGCTGCTAGGACTCTAGCCAGAACATCATTCGACATAGACGTGCCATCCAGCCTGAACCCCGAACCACTTTCGCGCCAATTGACCACCGCTATCCGTTGGCTGACTGAAGGCCACCAGATCCTTGGGTACCCACATCCCGTAGAGAAAGTCCGAGGTCGCGGAGTCCAAGAGAGCGGTCGCAATGCCGGCTTTGCGGTGCATGTTGGACGTCCAGATTCGAGAGATGCCCAGCATTGCATTGTCGGCCGTTTGGCTGATCGAAATCGGAGAGCTCGAGTCCGATAGAAGTTCTTCGATCGGATCCTCCGGCGCCAGAACCGCGTAAGCCTTCTGGATTCTCTCGGCCAAACATGCGCCAATACATTTCTGGCCCCGAATGTACAGGTAGACCTTGAAACGATCACTGCTGGAGCGCGCCCGTTTCTCCACTTCGGTCGATTCGTCGTCCGATTCCTTCGACGATTCGCTTGTGTCAATAACCTGGCTCCATAGCTTCTCGTCTTCGATTGTCACTGCTCCGAGCTCCGTGTTGACAACCTCCAGTACCTGCGTTGCCTTGTTCCGGAAAGCCAGTGTGTCCTTTCTGTGTATCACAGCAATGAAGCTGCCATCATCTCCCGCCCACACCTTTCTCTTCTTCAAAGTTTCCATAGATGATTTCCTCAGATCTACGCCTCCAGTGTTCATGGCGTGGTATTTCCTGTGCAAGATCGCGTCCTCCGCGTTCGAGGGGATGTAGTTCATGCCACAAACATTGCAGCTTTTGCTCGTCTCGCCCCCAAGGTCAATCTGCATTTGAGCAAGGCGCTTCTTCTTTGCTGCTGGAATTTCCGTTTGTGGAGCTGCCGTCTGGACATTGTGACTTGTCTCCCCGAGTGGCTGTTTGGTGTGCGCTGCCTTCTTGCCAAGGAAAGAGAACAGTGGCTTTCGCGCTTGAAGGACTGGCGACGTTGCTTTGGGAGGAGATGAGGGTGGGGTGGATGGAATTGCGACCTCGTCCGAGAAGATATCCGGGGAAGACTTGGGGCTGGAAAATAGAGCGGGCGGAGGTCTCTGTATCTTGAAGAAGTAGTTCTCTATCGAGTGCTTTGGAGGTGCTGCTTTTGCTGGTGCAGGCGCCGTGGTGGACTCAACGCGCCTGCGCTTCGGCGCGGGTTCCTCATCGTGGACAGCGTGTTTTCGGTTCCGTGAATAAGTTTTAATAGCTTTCCTATAGCATGGTTAGAATGATACTAACAATTGAACGCGTCCGCATACCTCGTCTTGGGTGGGGAGGCCATGGTGGAGATGTAGGAAAAATAACAGACGCCGTTTCACGCGTTAGGTAGATCGCGATGCCCGCCCGCGGGCTACCTTAGTTCACCCGCTTGGTCCAAGCGCCCAAACCCCATCCAGGCTCACGTGAGCAAACAGTGGCGGCCATGAACTTGTCATTCTATTCTACAACTTCATATACTTTGCACTCACTCTAGGTTTATGCACACTTGACTAGCACCGCTTGGGGCCTTCTGGCATATTTTCAAAGTTTGCCAAATGACAGTTTTGACAAGTCTGACAGCTCCATGGGCCCCCTCAGACGGTGTCAGACTGCCACTTTATGACAGTTGCTCGATTGCCTTCACTACCCTGAACTTGAACTGCTTGATCTGCGCTATTTCGACAGGAACGGTTTTCGTGATGATGCGGTAGTTTGGCAACCGTAGGGTGGTCTAATACACTAGTTTTATATGCCCCAAATGGAGAGTTGCCCCGCGTACGGCGTGGAGCACTCTTTGGGCTGGAAGATAGGAGGTACTGTGGCTGGCTGATACGGCCCATGCGCTGGCGGGGCACATTCTCTACACTGGACGTATTCCCCGCTCCTCAACTTTGGTCCTTAAATGGCTGCCTAGTACAGAAACTTAACGGCGAGAAATTTTAGGCTCATTATACTCTCCCATTTGAAGTATCTAACGCGCACTCAAGTCGGAACACAATGTCTTACGTCCCATACCCTGAGTATTACCTCGACCTTCCGTCCGATAGTATTCGCTTACTACGTCTACTCCCAAATGAAGACAAAAGGGCACCCATTCAATCCAAGCTCTTTACCTACTCTCTGCGGGATTGGGGCAAACGAACGCATCCATATGACGCTTTGTCCTACGTATGGGGCAGTTGGGACAATCCCCAGTCTATCTCCATCAGCGAACAGAACTTCGAAAACGAACATGTCCTCCCAGTGACGAGAAATCTTCACGAGGCGCTGTCACGTCTTCGACATCGCTCTATCGATCGAATTTTATGGATAGATGCCATTTGCATCAACCAGAAAAACGATAGAGAGAAAGAGCAACAGATTCAATTTATGGCGAAAATCTACGCTCAAGCAGACCGTGTTGTTGTTTGGCTTGGAGAGACGGCGGACGGTAGCGACCGAGCGCTCGAAGAGATGCGCGTTGCCGGAGGCAAGAAGTCGACAGATTCTTTCAACAGCGAAGCCATTCCGCAAGCAGTTGTCGCGCTACTTCAACGACCGTGGTTTCAGCGCATTTGGGTACGGAAACAGACAACAACATTCGCAGAACTTACTAACAGGTAAATTCAGGTACTTCAGGAAGCTGCCGCAGCTCGACATGTCCTGATCATGTGTGGATCCGCAGAAATTGATGGATACGCCTTCTGCTTGGGTGTAGATTCATTTTTGGATTCCTACAAACTTCGTGCAGACTTACAGAGTGTGGCCCGTTCAGTCACCTACCTGATAAGGGGAGCGATTTTCAGACCTAAATATTCCATGGGTAGATTGAGTAGATCTACCCTAGATATATCCTCACTGGACGAGCTGATGGATATGTACCATGCCCGTCAGGCTACCATGCGCCACGACAAAGTGTATGCACTGTTGGGTATGAGCTCTGATGATCTCAGCAACGCTGGTCTCTCACCCAGCTACGAAGTTCCATGGGAGGATCTCTTCCAGCGACTAGTCAAGTATCTACTCTGTCAAAAAATATCTGTCGAGACTTGGTGCCAGACAGAGATCGCAGTAGTCAGGAGCAAGGGCTGTGTTCTTGGTAAGGTATCCTCAGTACAAAGCAACATTGGTTCGGAAGACAGACAGGGTGTTGATGTCATGTTCATGAATATATGGGGGCAACCAAAAAACACAGAAGTGCAGAGCGAGCACTGGAATCTCCACGCCTCGGCAAAATCAATCCAAAATGGAGACATCATATGTCTTCTTCAAGGAACTTCAAAGCCTTTGATTATCAGGTTGTGCAAAGATCACTTCGACGTCGTCATGATTGCATTCAGTCCTCCTGAGAAGATTCCCGTGGGTGATGGATATATCGAGTGGCCAAAACTTCTGCAATCGGAAACAATCTTCACCCGCGATTTCATGCTTGTCTGGGACTGGAATATTTCACATCCAAAAGAATACGAAGCCTTGATACAAACCAGCAAGGTGGCATATTCGGGACAGTGAGTGTTCTTAAATGCAATTAACTTATTTCATAAATGACTCAACTAACAATAAGTGCAGTATGGATCGACACATTGAAGACCATTTAGACGATGCGACCAGCACATGGAACTATTCACTCATATTAGGAGACTTAGAAGAGTACCAAAAGGCAGAAGAGAAACTTCGAGAAGCAATAGAGGGCTATAAGGTAGTATTTGAAGAGCGCCCGCATACGCGGAACAGCGAATACGATCTAACACCACTATTATGGGCCTCTAAGAATGGGCATGAAGCTATGGTGAAGCTGCTACTTGAGAAATACGGTGTTGATCCGGACTTGAAGGATAGTCAATACGGTCTAACGCCGCTGTCGCGAGCCGCCGAAAACGGGTACGAGCCTGTAATTAAGCTGCTACTCGAGACGGGTAAGGCCAACGTCAATTCAAAGGATACGGACAGTCGAACACCGCTGTCGCGAGCCGCCGAAAACGGGCACGAGCCTGTAGTTAGGCTGCTACTCGAGACGGGCAAGGCCGACGTCAATTCAAAGGATACGGACGGTCGAACGCCACTATGGTGGGCTACCAAAAACGGGCACGAGGCCGTAGTTGAGCTGCTGCTTAAGACAGGCAAAGCTGAAGCCAACTCAAAGAACATACACCATCCAACGCCGCTGTCGCGAGCCGCCGAAAACGGGTACGAGCTTGTAGTTAAGTTGCTCCTCGAGGCGGGTAAGGCCGACGTCAATTCAAAGGATATTGAAAGTCGAACGCCGCTGTTGCGGGCCGCCGAAAATGGGCACGAGTCTGTAGTTAGGCTGCTACTCGAGACGGGCGAGGCCGACGTCAATTCAAAGGATACGGAAGGTCGAGCGCCGCTGTCACGGGCCGCCGAAAACGGGCACGAGCCTGTAGTTAAGCTACTACTCGGGACGAGCAAGGCCAACGTCAACTCACAGGACAATAAAAGTCGAACGCCGTTATCGTGGGCCGCCAAAAACGGGCACAAGGCCGTAGTCAAGCTGCTTCTCGAGACGGGCGAGGCCTACGTCAACTCAAAAGACCAGGTCGGTCGAACACCGTTACAGTGGGCCGCCGAAGGCGGACACGAGGCCGTAGTTCAGCTGCTGCTTAAAACGGGCGAAGCTGAAATCAACTCAAGGAAGGGTACTCAAACGCCGCTATCGTTCGCAGCCAAAAATGGGCATAAGGCCGTGGTTGAGCTACTGCTTGAGACGGGGAAAGCCGACATCAACTTGACAGACTACTATAGTCGGACGCCGTTACAATGGGCCGCCGAAGGCGGGCACGAGGCTATAGTTGAACTGCTGCTTAAGACGGGTAAATCCGAAGTCGACTTAAAGGACCGCAGCGGTCAGACGTCGCTATCAACCGCTGCTGCAAACGGGCATGATGCTGTGGCTAAGCTGCTGCTCGAAGGCAAGGCTGACGTCAACTCAAAGGACGAAGACAGAGGAACGCCGCTGTCGTGGGCCGCCAGAAACGGGCACGAGGCCGTAGTTAGGCTACTACTTAAGGCCAAGGCCGAAGTCAACTCAAAGGACGATTCCGGCCAAACGCCGTTATCGTGGGCCGCCAAAAACAAACACGAAGCCGTTGTTAAGCTACTACAGTCAGCTCCTTCTCACCAACGACGTACTTTCCTTGGCTGGTAAAGGAATACATGTAACTTCCTGAAAGGACTTAAATGGCAATTCCCGTTATTTCCTATAGGAGTTTCCCTAAGTAATTACTTGTCTCCAAAATGTTCCCAAGCGCGGCCAGTCTATTATATATAGGGGGTTGATAAT